TGGACTGAAACCACTAGCCTTTCAGTTAGAAGGTGAGTGCTTAACCATTTGCCTAAGGATTTCTAAATATAATATGCCCTGATGAAGAATTCCTACATTTTGTTGTATGGACAGACAAGTTATGTTCTCTTTTTTCCCCAGAAGTGATATATTGGATATCTGCTTCAGTATAACATTAGTATTATGCTTTCTGCTACAATCAGCATTGTTAGTGTTTAAAATACTCACACAAGCTTTGCATAGGCATCTGAAAGGATGGGAAAGGAAGACAAATTGTCCTCTCTCCTTGTTAGCTTTTGTTCTGTTATATATAGGGTCATTGTGAGTCAGAGCCTACTCGATGGCACCTAACAACGACCTTGTTAGCTTAATGCTGGTGGGCCTTCCCTTTGAAATGCAATGCAATGATGAGAACTTTTAATTAATTATTTTGAAAACATTTTCCACACAGTTAAGATTCATATAGGCCCTTACAACACCTGCTGCTAAAAAGGACATTTTTAATTCATTTTTCTCTCAGTAGCCCTAATTATTTGGTTAATCCTTTTACCCTCTCCTCCACATTACTGCCCATACTAGGTGACCCAACTGTAGGGTAGGGGTAACCCAAAGGGAAATGATGCCATAACCGATATCCAAATTGCTCTGTAAGGATGGTGAATGTGTTTAGTAATAAATGATATGAAAAGGTCTTTTATTGACAAGCTGCCATGTGCTGTTTGCATTAGTGAATATGAGAAAATGATAGCTGCTACTCCATTGTCCCCATGGTATTCAGCTCAGTGAGATAGCACAAAGTGCTTCAGTTTACTTAAAGCATTGATAACACCTCTAAATAATTAACTGAGGACTTCCTGTCTTCAATTACTTAATGCTTTTTTTTTAACATCTTGAGAGGATTATAAGCAATTTATGGATTTCATGTGATGAGTGCATTTGCCACTATTCCCACAAAGCATTTACGGGATCATGTTTCTAAAGCTTTAATGTAATTAAAAATAAGCATGGAGACAATGGGGCTGAGGCAAGGTGCTCACGTTCCCTTCCATCATTTCTAAGGACCTAGATTTGCAGTCTCCAGGAAGACTAGTGCTACTGCTTCATTAGTGTTCTATGGTTGCTTACGGGAGGTCAATGTTTTAGAAATGAAGAGAACCCAAGGGTATTCAGGCAGTTCTTTGATCAAGCATCTAAGATGGAATGTGAAATAGATTTAATTATTTTAGTTCATTCTCTGAACTCAATAGAACCTGTCATTCACATTATAAAATACTTTTGAACTGAGTTAGGTCAGTTGGCTGACCATGGAACTGAAGAGTGTTTGGCAGATAAACTGTTTACATTATATGTTGTTGTTGTTGTTGTTGTTATGTGCCCTCGAGTCAGACCTAACTCAAAGTGACCCCTCGTTAGGTTTCTGAGGTGGTATCACTGTGGAAGTAGACTGCCCAACCTTCCTTCTAAGGAGTGGCTGGGGGATTTGAACCACCAGCCTTCTGGTTAGCAGTCAAGTGCCTTAGGCACTATGCCATATAGATCTCAGCCTTTCAATAATCTAATGCCTAGCACTATTCCTATCCCACTGAAACTGCATGTAGGAGGCTCTGTAGTTTGTAAGGTTTTGCTGAATGGGGGTTTCTGTTCTCATTCTAAAAGGAAATCCCTATTTAGGATTGTATTACCCAAGCGAAGTACTCTCTCTCATCTATTTAAGACAGAACAGTTTTATGATTTTGTAAGAATTAATACTATATGGAAAAACTTTATCATACTTATTCTAATAAAAGAAGAATACTCCCATCAAACTATGCACATGAAATCCTCCCTGACATGAAAATATCCATTAAAAATGACAATGAAAGGAAGAACTGGTGGAGAGAGGGTGTTTAAAGAAAAATTCTTGCAATTATTTTATAATTAATGAGGCTATCAATCCTGTTGGTTTGAACATTGCAGTTGAATTTGAGCTGTTGGCATATAGATGACAGTTTCTAAAAAAAAAATGCACATCAGTCCATCTGGCAACAATTCAATGCCAGTGTTGGTTAGGTAGATAGATTCTGTAAGAAGAAATTTTCTTAGCTTTGTATCCCAGTTTATTGTGAAACCATTACTGGTACTAAGTCTTAATGTGCCTTAACTAGGCTTTCAAAACTCTATAATCAAGTTTCCATTGTTCACTCCAAGTTATTCTTTTGATTTACACCATTGTATCTTGTACAAATTTTACTGATTACTTTGTATTTACAGTTATTACTTTACTTGTTAATGTTCTCTGTGACTAGTGTCATTTTAAGAACAGGAATCTTATTTCAGAGCACTTAGCATAGTATCTAAAGGAGCTCTGGTGACACAGTGCTTAAGGCATGACTGCTAACCAGAAGGTTGGCAGTTCAAACCTACCAGCTTCTCTGTGGAAGGAAGATGTGGCAATCTTCTTCTGTAAAGATTTACTGTACTGATAACCCAATGGTGATTGTTTACTATGCGCTGGAATTGACTCAATGGCAGTGGTTTTTTTTTTTTTTTTTTTTTGGCGGGGTGGGGGGAGCAGAGGATGTAGTATAGTATCTATGAAGTTCCTTGGTGGTACAAATGATTAAATGCTCAGCTACCAACCAAAAAGTTGGCAGTTTGAACCCACTCAGAGGTGCCTTGAAAGAAAGGCTTGGTGATCCACTTCAGAAAGATCTCAACCATGAAAACTCTATGAAGCACAGTTCTACCCTGCGATACATAGGTCACCGTAAATCATAATTGATTCGATGACAACTGGTTTGGTTTTTTATCTAGTATATAGAACACAGCAAGCAGGAAACACTTTTTTTTTTTTTTTTAAATAAACTAGTATTCTGATTTCCTTAGAGATGGAGGCAATGAATGTCTTGAACACCCCCGGGTAGATTAATTACCTGCCAGGATATGGCACCTGTCACATGTGAGCATTAAAGATATCCCTCACTTATCTTACAGGAATGTGATGAAAATCAAATGAGTAAAAATGTAGTTACTTAAAATTATAAAGCACCATACAAATGTAAACTTCTATTATGTAAAACATTATTTCATTCACTTGGATGATTTTTACTTTAAGTTAAATAAGATATCAAGAACAAATTTCATCATCTGAATTGATTAGGGCTCTCCCCACTCCCATTATCAATGATTTAACTCAAGATCTTGAGATAAGGAAGGTTCTGTGCAAATCTACAAATATTTATTAAGTCCCTTCTACAGATTTATGGCACTTTTGGGAAAACACTGGAGACTTTGTCAATAAATGCTTGTTGTGTACCAGGGAGGTGTAGCATTTAAAAGCAAAACACAAACTTATTTTTTCCACCTGTGTAGTATAGGCTGTGCTTCCTCTGAGGAAAAAGATAGACAAACTTTCCTAAGCCTTTCTGCACTTCTGCGTGACTTTCATTCTCTATGGTATCAACATCCTCTCCCAGGTATGGGGTCTCCTAGAAGGATTCTCACTTAGGAGGCATTGGAGGGAAGTGGCTAACAAGGACAAAAAAGTAAAATTCTGTAATATCTGGCATGTGTCCTTAGAATCTAAACTAATACAAATGTCTGGGAAGATTCAATAGACCCAAATAATGAGCTAAGCTACTTAATCTCTCAAAGCATTCTTGTCTATAAAACAGAAGTATTACTTGTACCTACTCCATAGGTTTGTTATGAGAACCAAATTACATAATGCATGAAAAGTGCTCAGGACAGTATATGGCACATATTAAACTTATTTGGTGTATGCAAACAAAACGCAACCATTGCCGTGGAGTCAGGTCCGAGTCATAGTGACCCCTCCTTGGATTTCCGAGCCAGTATCACTATGGAAATAGATTGCTCAACCTTCCTTCCAAGAAGTGGCTGATGGGTTTGAACCACCAGCCTTCTGGTTAGCAGTCAAATGCCTTAGGCACTACGCCACCAGAGCTACAAACATGTATTAAGCACCTACTGATATGACAATGGCTTTCTAGGTACTAGAGATACAGTGGCTCAGTGGTTAAGTGCTTGGCTGCTAATCAGAAGGTTGGCTGTTTGAACACACCAGCTACTCCTTGGGAGACAGATGTGGCAGTCTCCTGTAAAGATTACAGCCTTAGAAACCCTTTGGGGGCAGTTCTACCCAGTTCTATACTGTTGTTATGAGTTGGAATCAACTTGACATCAATTATTTTTTTTTGGTTTAGAGATACTTTATTGAATGAGATAGACAAAATCTTTGCTCTTCTGAATATCAGATTCTGGTGGAAGAAGCAATAAAAAGAGAGATGAAAAAAAGTAAAATATCAGGCAGTGTGGTATCTATGTTGAAAACAAAACCAGATGATATGGTAGTATATTAGAGAATCTAGACTCGGTGATCAGAAACTTCTTTTCAGAAGTGACATTTAAACTAAAACATGTTAATGACTGTTATAATTACTATTAATAAATATCTAACATTATACTATTACTAAATTATAATATTATATTGTACTACTATATTACTAAAACTGCAATAAGTAATGTTATTTGTTAAAATAATATAATACCTATTAATTACCGTTAATAATGATAACAAATAGTCACATCCAGTCAACTAGTTCTGTGTATTAATTACCTACTTAGTAGACAAATTTTAGCCTCTGGGTGGATCTCCCCCTGCCTTCTAGTATATTTTTGTCTATCCTAATTCCATTATCTACCAGTATATCTGGAAAAATGCATTTTACTGTTTATCTAAAAAAAGTTCAGTCTCATGCAAAAACCCTACCCTTAATGCATATCAAATATAAATTATTTCTGAAGTTATCTGCTGTTGTGGCTTATTGCTGCCAGTGTGGGCTCTTCTATTAGCATGGATAAGTGGGACCTGACCGTATGTCAAGAGAACATGTCCTTTTGAAGTGACCTCATATATCAAACACACACCCCTGGGATGCTTTTCCCCACTAACCACAATGACAGACTCTTCCAGTAGGTTTCCTTTTTTTTTTTTTCACCTGTGACCGTATGTTGCCTCCTGTCAGTGGTATCAGTGTAGATGAGACCTTTTCCAACCTGCCTGAGTTGGTACTCTTTTATGACACCATTTGGTTTCTCAGGGACACTCCAGCTCAAATGCAAAGCCTCTGCACTTGGGGCTGTGATTCTTGGTGGCAGGATGCTCTCTGGAACTCCTTGGGTAGTGGCTGCAACTACCTGAAGACAGAGGAATTAAACAGCAATTTATTGTAATAGTACACTAGGTATCCTGATCAATGAGAATGTCACTTTTGTTTTAAAATGCTGTTGTCTGGCCTGGCATATCATTAGCAGGGGCTTGGAGAAGCAGTCCCCTTTTTTTATTCTTTCCCTCCCATCCTATTTAAACAATGAAATCTGACCTTGAATACATTACATAAGTCTCAGACTACCATTTATCACAACAGGTTCAACAACAATTTTGATGGCAGAGTGCAGCCCTCAGTTTAAACAAGTAAAATCTGGCTGGCAGACTGTCTTACTAGAGAACTCTTGATAACTCTCTTCCATATGGTTCATCAGTGTCTTTGCATTTTAACAGCCTGATTTTGTACATTTTAAGCACTGGTAAATATGGAGCAAAACCTACATCTGAACTTGCTTGCATATAATATGCTTTGAGCAATATAAATGGGCAGACATTTCTGTAGTCTTTTGTGATATGCAGGATGACTTTATACTGCGAAGACCTATGTTCTAAGAAAAAAACAAATGAGAAGAGAAAAGGATACATCAACCAGCTACTTATTTGATATTGTCAAAATATAGTTTTGAACACAAATTGCCTGGATTTTCTTCCCACAGAATTAACTTTGATTTCATTTTTAAATCAGTTGTTTTGGCATCTAATAAGTATGAGCTGTGTCTATGGAAAAGGCACAGAATTGTTCTAGGACTATTAAGACCATACCTTTGATGGGACCAACCCACCACCATCTGTCCAAATGGTGGCACACTCCGAGTTGTTTCTGGGGGTCTTTTGAACCAAAACATGTACCCATTCACTGGTTGATCAGTTTGACTAAAGGTTATTTGGATGGTTCTTGACAGTGCATGAAGATACTGCCCTTGTAAAACTCTAGCCACATGAAGAGAATCAGAGCTGTTGTGTGCGTGTGTCTCCTCCTGGGCTTCCTCTAACTAGGTTGGCTATGTGGAGACGGCTCTTTCCTTATCTTATTCCTAAGTTGTCTGATTGCTTCTTCCCTGTCTCCTTTGCAGGAGTTTCTTTCTACATTTGGTTGTGTTCCCCAATGCTCATTGTCTACGGTCTTGTGTTTTTGTTATTCTATATATTTTCCCTGTTGTTGTCAGCTGCCCTTGAGGTAAGCCCTGACTCACGCCCTGACTCATGGTGACTTCTGACTCATGATGACTCCATAAACAATGAAAGGAAATAGTACCTGGTCTTGCACCATCCCCATGCTCAGTTGTCTTTCAGCATTATCTGATTTTTAGAAGTAGAAAGAAAGTGGCCCTGAAAGAAAGAATCCAGGTCTTTCTTTCTATTTCATCTTAGTGTGGAAACTCTGTTGAAGTCTGCTTTGGCATCATACCCACCACTGACTGCAAATTGATTGTGACTCATAGTGACCCTGCAGGACAGAGTAGACCTGCCTCATATGGTTTCCAGGACTGTTAATCTTTACAGATACAGAAACTGGTGGGTTCACAACACTGGTATTTTGGTTAGCAGCTACATGCTTTAACCACTGCACCACTAGGGCTCCATGTTTGGCATCATGGCAATACTTAAACCTCCACTGACAGATGAGTGGTGGTTGAGCACGAGGTGTACTGGCTGGGAATGAAACCCAGGTCTTCTGCATGGAAGGTAAGAAATCTACTATTGAACCACCAGTGCCTCCCACATATTCTCCTTAAATGGCCATAATGAAGTCCATTGCAACTTCCCATGTAGCTTTTTCTAGCAAACTCCAATAACTTCTTAATTCAGCTTCACACAAAACATTCTCACTTGAAGTGCCAAATAATATGTTTCTTCCACCCTTCCTGTAATTTATTTCTCCTCTATTTTTTCAAGCTTTTACAATTTTAATCCTTTTATTATTTTAACTTTTTCCTCTTTTGTTTTTCACTTGCTTGTGGAAGGACTATTATTCACACATTGCTCAAATTAGATATCTTGACAAGATCTTTTCACTCTTTCCTTTTATTCCTCAACCTAAAGTTCACTGTCTTATAGGTTCTGTCTCCCATCATTTTTGTATCTTTCTGATTTTCTCCATTTCTACCTCTGCAGCTTATGTTCTGGTCTTCATCACTTCTTGTCTAGTCTATGGCAGTAGCCTCTGAACTATATTATCTTGACAGGTTCCTTTGCCTTTCTCTCCATTTTCAAGGTCAGACAATTGTTGGTAAAACATTTAGAAATTCATATTCAATTGAGGAATGGCTTGGGAATTTTTCTAGACTTACAGAAAGTCACCTAAAAAGAGTTGACAAGGGAGAAGTGTGAAAGAGAATTATATTGGTCCAAGTTTTCTTGTGAGTTTATTAATAAAAGATAGATGTTTGGATAAATCTCCCTTCCAATGGTCTCTGCATAATGATTAGCAGCCAGAAGAGGTAACACTGAACATCCCCTACTTACTACCACTTTGAGGTGGGTACTTTTTTTTTCCCCCACTGGAGAAATTACTTGCAACATGGTTATTCATACAGTCTTCACATTGGATCCCTCTTTCTAGGGTTTTGGGAGACTTCTCTCACCTGGCTGCTGGAGGTACAGCCAACAGCTGTGCATGCTTTCAGTTGGTATGAATATTCCTGAAAGGACTGAATTCCCTTTGTATCAGAGAAGGTCAATGATGTTCCCCGAAAGCGTTCAATTCCATCTCGGAGAAGAATATAGTAAATAATAGGGCCTAAAAAAGACAGAGAAAATGACTCTTTTCAGTGTCACATCATATCACATATGTGCAAACAACTTACATGCCTTAGAGTTCTGAAGAAATTGGATACTATAGTATTATTTAATCTTAATTTGCAACTGTACTGGCTCAAGCAATTATACTTGCTGCTTGGAGGAGATGGATTACTGACATAGATAATCAAAATCATTTATGTTTATTTCTACTTACCACCAAATAAATTTAATTTCAATATTAGAACTATGCTGCCTTCTCTGAGCAACCTTTGCTTGGTTGAAAGTAGCTCAGATTTATGCTAGAATTGAAGGAAATTTTGTTTTGTTTTTCCTAAAATTCATGAGGGCTATTCCACAAAGTGAATGATTAATTGATACAAAACTAAAGTTCCCTTTGCCCAAAATATTTTTAGTGATTAGGTGCATGATAATTAACTGTATATTATATTCATTTCAATTTCTTTACGGTTTTTTGGGGTGGGGAGATGATGGTGGTGTTGTTTTTTGTGGTGGGGTTATATTGTCTCTACTTTAAAAGTTGCTTGAGATGGAGTTTCCAAGATGAAGCTAGGTAGATACACTATCCAGACCCTCTTTAACAAAGACTGGAAAAACAAGGGAAATGGCTACAGATGACAATCCTAGATCTCGAAGCTTCAAAGCAAAGGATAAAATTGTAGATCAAATGCCAATGACAGGAAGAGATAGAAGGAAACTGAACAAGGAGTGGTAAGCTGCCAATTGGCACAGCATGGCCATTTTGAATTCTTGCAAGCAGTGTTCCAATTGTAGTAGGAACCAGATAACTGGCTCCACTTGCCCAGAATTGAACAAGCACCCACATCAGAGATCAGATGACCAGAGAAGGGTGTCCCTCCCTCCCCTGCCACAACCTCCTGGTGAACAGAGGAGTAGCATTCCTTATCCCTACACACCTGGTGGCCAATCAAACTCCAACTGCCAGTGCTAGGCCACTATTTTATTTATTTATTTTTTAAATCTTTCGGCTTAGCCTTTCTATCTTCCCCACCTCATTTACTTTTCTTTTTCTTTTTTTGCCCCTTTTTCCTTCCTCTTCCTTTGCCCTTTTTCTTTCTTTTGATCCCAAAGAGTGGGAGTCCCTCCCCCATAGCTCATGCAGTGCTTGTCCATACTACTTCCTGGTCGGAGGTGTGTGCTGTAGTGGTGCACTGAATTAGTTCCTGTATAGCTCAGTTTGGTGGCTGCACTTTCATTCTTTTTCTACTCCTTTCTTCTTCCCCATTCTTCCCCTTGTTTTCCATTTCTTTCTTTTCTTTTGTTTCTTCTTCTTTTACCTTTTTTTCTTTTTTGTTCCTGACACCCAGCCTATGGCCAGCAGCACTTGCTTCCACACCCTTCCATGAATGGTGTTATGACCTCTCCCAGGGTGAGCTCTGCATGCCTGCTGCAACTGTGTTTGGTGTCTAACACTTGCACCAGTTTTCTTTTCTCACATTTTTCTTTTGTCTCTTCTTCTCAGTACTTCCTTTTTGCCCCACCTTTGTTTTTCTTTCTTTTCTTCTTTTCCTTCCACTTCTTTCATGTTTTTTTCCTTCTCTATTTCTTTCATTTGTTATTCAGCTGAACCAGTACCTTGCCTCCCCATCATCATTTAGTAGTGCTGTCCCTGACCTTCCATAGTTGCTGGTGTGTGCTCCTATAGAGTGACAGTCACATTTCCACTGCAACTGTGTTTGGCATCTTTTACTTGTGCCAGTTCTAATGCCACATTTATTTGTTTGTTTTCCTTTTTCATTCTTTTTATCTTTTCTCTTTGTCTCTCTTTCTTCCTGGGTAACCCCCTCTCTCTACTCCATTGGTTTATTGTTTTTATTTGTTTTGAATTTTATTGTGGTGAAAACACACACAACAAGATAGTCACCAACATAACAACTTCCACATTTACAGCTCAAGGACATTGATGACATTTTTCTTGTGCCACCATTGCTGCTACCCTTTTCCAAAATATTCTACCACCATTAGGATAAACTCAATGCCACACAAACAAAAGCTTTCCCTCTCCCCCCT